ACGAGAAAAAGAGGGCTCACTGCTTCTAAACAACAGCTTCTAAAAAATGCTGCCAAGAGGAGCACCTTCTCAGTGACCTGGACATCTGCAATACTCCATACTAGAAAAGGTAAAACAGATTCTTGCATTTACATCAAAGGGTAAATGACCAAAACAGAGTTCACAGAAAAATGTCCATCACACAGACCTGTGTTGTGACCCATGCCTGCTTTAGCTTTTCAACGGGAGACTCAGTCAGTCCCTGAGGTGACTTCTGTGGCACCAGACCCACACACCTCCTTGCCACGTGCTCTGGGTCCCTTGAGAGTACCACCACGTACCTGCCTGGATCCCAAGGAGACCAGACGTGTGTCTTTGCCAAAAGGACTTTTCTGCACCTCRTGCACAAACTGGGACAGCTGGGAGTGAGTGCGGCTGCAGTAGTAGATCTGCAGTGAAGAAGAACAAAGGGAAGACAAGAACATGGAARCCAATTCCCTACCTATGACCAATCCTGCAAGGAAGGAGCCAAGCACTTCAACAAGGCTCACCTTGCTCAAGACTCCAAAAACACAAGGRCAGGCACATGTTTGAGTGCCATGTTACAACTGTTGAGGCCAAAAGCCCCACCTGTCTTTTCTCCTCTGCATTTGCCTTTGTTTCCATTTAATTTCCCAAGGTCTCTATAACAGGGACTGTCCACGGGAGAGTAATAAAGAACTATTTATTGCAGTGGGCTTTTACTGCAAGCCATGGCAAAAATTAAGCAGTGCAAGCACAGCAAACTGCTTAGGAAGGCAGTGTAGTCCAGAAGGAGATGAGCACAGCAGAACTAGTTGCCTTTATCAACAAACCTGGCAGGTTTTGGATGCTAATTCCAAAATCCTTCTGTACTGCCTGATTGTTGGAAAGGTGCAAGGAAGCCATAATTCTGCTCCCTCCTACACCATTTTATGAAGTGGCACTATTTACCTTCCTCATCTCACCTTAGTCACATGCTCCTCTTCCAAATCATCATCATCTTCTTCCAGCCTAAGAAATGAGAAAGCTCAAACAGTTTCCTTTCAACAGACCACTGACAGTAAAAATCAAATGATATTCCCCTACAACAGTGAGGTCTCGAGAGAGATGATTAAGTCATCTCAAGAAGARCCTCAGATCTCAACTCAGGTGGTAAAAGAAAAATCAACTTTYAAAGAATAGTTTAAGTGTGCATAATCAAGTTAAGCCTTTCTCTTTAAAAGAAAAATCTTTTCTGGGCTGAGCCTTTTGCAAGTCCAAGATTTTTTTTTTTCTTTTAATTCATGGGTTTCTAAGCCCCAGGCATAAGCTAATCAGAGCTACACTATTCTTTGGTGAGCTTATTTATTTGTGCAAAGCTTTCCCTTTAGAAGCAATTTACCACCCTCCAGCTATTGCATAAAGAAAGACCTCAGGAAAGCATTCAGCTGCCATGGAGCTCCTCAAAGGCAACGGCAGTTTAAAGTTTGTTAAGCTATGTATAAATAAAATAGTTAAGTGTTCTTCAAATTTTAAGGCAGAAGGATCTGTCTAGACACTAATTAGTAAATTTGTATTTTAAAGGCATTTGACTTTTGTACTGAAGTGTGGCTTCTGGCTTTCTGCATAAAGCAAATGCATRAGAGAGGAAAGTGTGCATGGAGTTTTCATGCCAAAGCTCTGTTTTTAGAAATGTGAACATCTCTGCTTCAGAGCATCAAAAGATGCCAGAGCTAATCTGCAGGACTGACAGCTTCCTCTGATGTCCTGAGTTCCATTCTGCTTTTTTAATACAAGGAACTTGATCTCAAGTCATTCACTTAGCMGCCACAGGCACTCTTTGGGGAACTGGGCATGAATAAAGGCAGGAGAAAGTGCATTTTAAAATGTGTGGCATTCTCACAAAGTACTTCAAGTCACTCAGATCAGTCTAACAAAAGCTTTAAAAAACCAAAACATACCAAAATAAAATGCCCCCAAACAACCAATTAAATAAAACCCACTACCTTACACTGTTTGAAAAGGTAAGGAACACTTTTAAATAAAATCTGCATAACCTCTTTAATCAGGGCAAGACAAAAATTAAACAGAAAACATTTCTTTAGCATGGAATCCCCTCAGTCCCTGTCCTTACCCAGATACCACTTTCTTTTCATCATCACTCTCATATTCAGCAAGAATCAGCTCCTCCTCATTGTGATCCAGCTGGTCTAGAACACCCTCTCCAKCTCCCTGTGAAAGAGCCTCCTTGCTGAGCTGAAGAAGGCGCTTTGCCTCATCCTCCTCGCATCTCTGAAAGGAACACAAGAGTTCAGTAATTGCCCATATAGAAAGAGGAGATTGTTTTATGGCAGGGACAGGTCAGAAGACAGCACAGCCCCTGACAGAAGGCTGAGGCTGTTCAGSCCCACAGAATGCAGCTGTTACCAACAACCAAAAACTGCCCACACGGACATTATAAAAGGGAAACATAAAGGACCCTCTCTGAAAAAGGCCTGCTGAACTAATAGACCCTCAATTAAATGTTCATGTAATCCAGTATTAGCTGCATAAAGTGGCCTATAAAAGATGTCTGCCTGAAAGAAAATAATGTGCAAATAAACTCAAACTAACAAATATTTAAGGACACAATCAAACCCTCTGTGCACATTTAACTCAAAGCTAGGATAAAGTCAGCCGTTGGTTCAGAACAAGATTTCTCTTGCTGTTTTTTTCTCCAGTTGTGTGACTGTTACRCTAACACAGGTCTACCTCTCTACAAAAAAAAAATCAATTAAACTGTTAAAGAACACTTTTCTGATTAATTTCTGTGTCAGGATAAAGAAAAGTTCATATTTTCCATCTGAAAATAGTACCTGCCAATGTCAATGAGCACTTCATTAACATGGCATTATACAGAAAATTCAGTTAGTAAGCTCTACAGAGAAGATCAATCAGTTACTTTTCCAAATCTCCATAATATTTCTCTCATTTGCTTTCTTGCTTTTCATCAAGCTTCTCATTTCACATTCTCTTCACCCTCTTTTAAGAGACAATTTCTTTGTTCTTTATTTGCCATTTTTTAGTATTTCTGTCATAGCCTTTTGACAGGAATCAATCAAAACATTACACAGCACTTGGASTASTCCAGAAATKAATAGCCTGGCAGCCTAATAAATAWCTGTATTTGGGGACCTGAACTGAACATTTCTGGGAAGTTTGACTCATATCATCAAAAAGCACGAAGAGTATTGAGGCCAGTTCACACACCTAAATGACAGAAAAATGTATTGGTGAACTTCAGTATAGTTTTTATTCCGGAAGTACAGAGTGTTCACACATGCTCATAAAACAGAGATCTTAACAAAAAAAAACACTCCATGTATTAAAGATTTTAAAAGAAAAGCAGAGGGCCAGAAGACAATCAGAACACACATCATTTCTGCCCAGACATAAACACTGTCATGGGAAATTATTGATGCACAAATTGTTTTTCACACCTATACTTTAAAARGTAAATATAACAAAAATTTTGGATGACCAATTTTGGAAACCTCAGACAAAGASCTCCTCAAAYRGGTGTGAAGTCACATATAMAGATAACCAAAACAGAAAATTCTGYTCCCYGTRGAATAACTCACCTTCCTCTTTGCTACGTATTTTAACTGCACATTATGGCGAATTTTCTCAAGAYGATCTTCTCGCTTTTTCCTTCTGATCTGCTCTTCCTACAATAGAGGGAGAGTAAAGGTAGGATGAAGAGTAYTTAGTCCTCAATCCTTGGTATCACTGCTTACGCTCTGGGCATAGAAAAAAGATTGACCGAAGCAAAATTCCCAGTACATCATCCTGTTCTCCTGGCGTGCTCACCTACTGAGTGTTACTCTGCTCAATACAATATAGGTTCCCGTTCTGGGCAACCTGCAGGCAAAGACCACCAAACACCACCACCAAATTTGCTTCACGTGTTTTCCACTCATCACCCAGGACACAGGAATAGTTTGCCCAGAGAGGTGATGGAACCTCCTTTCCTGGAAATACTAGAAAGCCTGGATACTGGCACTTCAGGGACTCTGCTGGAGCAGTGAGGCAACTCTGGGTGTCCTCCAGGGGTCCCTTGCAGCCCCAGCCCTTCTGTGACTCAGTGACATCAGCTCTCCCGATCCTTTCTTCGCAATTTCACCCGTTCTCTACACACGAGCACTTCCCCACCTTCAGCCTGTCCACCATGTCCCGCTCCTCCTTCTTCTGCACGAAGGCCGTGACCCAGTCGGGCTCCSCGGCCGTGTCGGCGCTGCCGGGCCGTGACTGCTGAGGGCTCGGCCCGCCCGGCCCGTCCTTCCCGCCGGCCCCCAGCTCCAGCAGCCGCGCCTCCTCCTGCCGCCGCTTCTCCTCCCAGTCCCGGAGCCACGACAGCGCCCCGCAGATGAGGCTCAGCGATTTKCCCTGCCACGGAAAGCCAGCAAGGTGAGGAGCGCTGCCGCTGCCGCCGCGGCCCCGCTCGGACACCGCCGCACCCGGTCCCGCCGCCTCACCGTCCCCGTGGGGCTCTCGAAGATGCCGACCCGGCCGGCCTCCAGCGCACCGTACAGCGCCTCCATGAACTGCTCCTGGATGCGGTACGGGGTATAGGGGAAGGGGAACCGGCCCGGTGCAGAGCCCGCCGCCGCCAGCCCGCTTTCCACCGCTCCGTCCATCCCGCCCCGCTTCGAACCGGGCGCCGCGGCCGCCCCCGCCCCTTCCCGTGACGCGAAGGAAGCGCAGCTTCGCCCCGCTCCGCCCGCTCTCAGCCCAACTCCCAAACCCGCTCCCAAACCCGCTCCCAAACCCCCTCCCAAACCCGCCCGGCGCTCACGGCCCTTCCCCAGCTCCCATCACACGCAGGCAGAGAAAACTGGGTTACAGAGGGGAAAAAAAAAAGGTTTATTTAGGATGGAAACGCAAAGCGTGTAATAAAATACTGCCGTATAGAGGAGGTTTGTGTAAATACGTTGAATTTTATATTTTAATATTCTGCAAACAACAGGGACCTAAAGAAGAGTGGCATAAAAAGAACAACAGAATTGCACTCAGTCTCTGAACCGACAGTAAGAACTCACCATGTGCAGGTTCAGACTAGGACATCTGGGGACAAATCCTTTCTTTTTGAGTTAAATAATGTAAAGCCACATTTTTGTCTGTGTTTTGTTCGTGTCCCAAGTTGGAAGGAGTTTCAAATGAGTAACAACAAATCTGAAAGCAGCTGCCACAGACAAGCAATAGACTGCCTTTCAACTGGAAACACTTCTGCATCCATGTTTGCTGGGAACCGCTATTAGAGTTTTGTGTTACCTTGCTATCATGAGGTAGGAATTCTTTGTCCCATGTAAGATTTGGAAAATAGAAMGAAAAGACAAACAGACTGAAGTTCAGCTCCAAAGTTTCACTCTGGAAAGATCTGGAAATGCTTTGTCAAACACTGTGTAAACCTACTACATTCATGAAAAATAAGGGAAGGTAATAAAAACAAGAGTTGCTAAGACTACTACAGTGTCTAATAAGCCAAAGTTTGGAGTCAGAACCAACCTGGAACTTTTTATTTTGAATTTCACTTTAGCTGTATTTTACAAGGCCAATTCTCCCAGTTACTATTACCATACATTCARTTCCTGACTTACCCTGAAGCTGGTGCTCACGCCTCACGCTCTTGGCACACTTCCTAAACCACCAGCACTTGGCTCTTGGGACTAACTCCCTGTTTCCAGATCTCCTGAAGTTTTTTGTGCCTCTGGGGTTAAGCATTAAAGCCCTAATATCAGATACCGTGTCTCCAGTCCATCTCTTCCCACTGTGGTTTTCATCACCCACCTTTTTCAGGTATCTCCAAACACTTTCCTGCTCCAGGGTTATGGCAGAATTGAGCAGGAGGTGAGCATTCTTCTACCCACCAGACATTTATAAGGTTTCTTGGCCGTGTGAATTTTCAAATGAACTTTAAGCGTCGAGCTTTTCCGAAAGGTTTTCCCGCACTCGGCACACTCGTAGGGCTTGGTTCCCGCGTGGATCCTCAGGTGGGCGCTGAGGGCCGAGCTGTGCCGGAACGTTTTCCCGCACTCCTCGCACCTGTAGGGCCTCTCGCTGCGGTGGATCCTCAGGTGCACGCTGAGAGCTGAGCTGCGGTGGAAGCTGTCCCCGCACTCCACGCAGATGTGGGGCCGCTCCTCGGCGTGCAGGCTCTGGTGCTTGGCCAGAGCGGAGCGGTCACCGCACCTCCGGCCACACTCGGCGCACTGGAAGGGGCTGGACAGGAGCCCGCCAGGACACACGGACRSRGCCTTTCCGCYGTGGGTGCGGCGGTGGGTGCTGAGYGCCGAGCTCTGGCTGAAGCCCTTCCCACACACGGGGCACTTGTAGGGCCTCTCGCCCGTGTGCGTTCGCGTGTGGGTCACCAGCGAGGAGCTCTGCCGGAAGGTCTTCCCGCACTCCGTGCACTCGTAGGGTTTCTCTCCCGTGTGAATCCTCTGATGCCGAATGATGGCCGAGCTGTCCCGGAAGCGCTTCCCGCACTCCTGGCACTTGTGGGGCTTCTCTCCGGTGTGGACCCTCCGATGTATGATCAGGGAGGAACGGTCGCTGAAGCTTTTCTCGCACCGGGGGCAATTGAAGGGTTTCTCCCCCTTGTGGCTTCGCTGGTGGACGATGAGATGCGAGTTCTGGCTGAAGCTCTTCCCGCACTCGTTGCACAGGTAGTGTCTCTCTCCCGTGTGGGTGCGCTGGTGCCTGATCACGTTGGACCTCTGGCTGAAGGTCTTGTCGCACTCACTGCACTGGTAGGGCTTCTCTCCYGTGTGGATCCGCTGGTGTTTGATTAGGTCTGAATTACGTGTGAAACCCTTCCCACATTCGGAGCAGCTGAAGGGTTTCTCTGCCAGGTGGATCCTCTGGTGTTGGCTCAGGTATGAGCTCCGGCTGAAGCWCTTCCCACACTCGGGACACTCGTACGTCTTTTCTCCCACCTGCTGAACCCAAATGGTGCCATTCCCACACACGGGTGGGTCTGGATTGTCCCCAGCAAGAATAACCTTATTGATGTGGGCTCTGCCACTGTCCTCACATTCCCAGACTTCCATCCCGTAAGGGGGTACTGCTCCCCGTCTCTTTGGAAAACATGTCTCCACCTCACTTTCCATTTCCAGCTCCTGCTTGTGGCCCTGTCTTTGATCGGCTTCCTGGAGGGAACCTCCTGTGAGCTTCCTGGAGGGGAACAGATGGAGTTCAGCTCTCACAGAACTTTCCTGATGAAGTTCCTGATGAAGGCTGCCCTTCTGTGTGTCGCCCATGGTMCTGTCACCTGCTGGAATGAACAGAGGGGGAACTGGCAATGAGTAAGTCACTGCTTCTCTGAGGGAGAAATCTGGACAGGGAGACCACTGCAAATCAGCCACAAGTGACAGCACAGGAGGCAGCACCTTGGGACCTTCTCAGGGCACAGTGAGGGCATGGACACCGAGGAGGGTGGGGAGGGAATGTAACTCGAGGATGGAAGGCCACTGTGGCACAGACTGCACAGGGGATCCTCTGCCCAAGTTACGCCCTGAAGAGCAAGATCCATCATCCCTCAAAGCTTCTGTGCCTAGCAAGGTTAGAGGAATATCATCACTGCTTTCCTCAACAATCCCCCTGCAGCTGCTTCTCCTCCTGCTGCCTGTCAACCACTGCCCTTCAGCCAATATTCCCGTGCTTGATCAAGGAAGCAAGCAACCAACACCACAGAAACACCCACCCATTCTCAGCAGACTATTTCCTTTCTTCTTTCCAKTCACAGCCYTYCTCCTTACAAAGAAARCTCTGCAGCAAATTGTATCTAGATMTCATCTACAGAACAGAYAGACAGCTGAGTGGAACRWTAAACTTTTATTAATCAAGTATGGAAATGAACCTTTAGACTGAAACAATTGGAGGCTCCTGGTTTTTCATTGGCTATACTCATTTGGAGAACACACCTTGGAAATGCACGCTGGAGCATGAGGTAAGAGATGAGCTGGATGGCACTGCTTACAGACTGAACATCATCCACTTACATGGAATAGGAGGTGATGCAGCAGATTAAACCCCTCAGGTTTTGTTTCAGCTCATCTGCAGGTTTGGAAGACACCACTGCACAGGTTATATCAATCCCCAAAGTTTTGTTTAACAACACTCAAGGCTGAAACACATTTGCAGTACAAAGGTACTCAAATACACCTCAAAGCAGCAAACTGACCAATAAAACAATACCAATATTGTCAGCATGAAAAGAAGAAAAAAACACGCTTTGGTTTATGTCTTTTAGCATTATGAGTATATTTGCTGAAAAAGACACAAGATTTATTTCATTTTGGAGACAGGGTCTTTTTGAAAGGACATCCTAGTAGACATCCTAAGACTGTGTTTCATCTTTACCATACTCTGCCTATGGATTTTCCTGGAAGCAGAATCTGTTTACTGAGGGAGCAGAAGAGGTAGGGTGAGTGTGGAGTGTGCAGCACGGCGTACATCAAATTTTCAGCATGCAGCTCTTCCCTTCCCAGACATGCTCCATGCAATTTCTCACCTTGTAAGCAGTCTCTCTGCTGGCTCTGTGTTTAGCTGCTTCTGGCCAAAAAGCTGCTTCTCCTCACCTGATCAAAAGGTTAGAGCCAAGCTGGGGACTGCAGGTCCTGATCTGAGGAAAGAAAACAGACATAATAAAATATCTGTCATAGTGGCAGTGCTGTACATTGAGTTCACTGGAGGGTAAGTATTTAGGAGCTGAAAATAACCTAGACCATAGGAAAATKATGCCCAGAAAYATGMGTRAMGGTCTGTCCTGCCATGCTYGCTGTGACACCACTGTCCAGCTCCMATAACCAGGGCCAGCTYAGGTATCACCCACAGCTGCCTGACAGCATGCTGCCTTCTCACAGGGGTCTGGATGTTCCTCCTGCTGCACTTCCAGACCAAAACTGCCTCCTGACGAGTTTTGTGTAAGAAAAAATTGATTCCTCAATCCATTTTCTCTCCATCACCTTTCCTCCTAGTGTTTTCTGCCATGGTCTGGAACCCTGTTTAGTGCCTTKTGGTTCCAGTCTCAGTGAATCAACCAAGTGTGCACAGATCTTGGCAAGAGACAAGATTTTGATCTGCTCACACATTACCAACAGCACCAGTCCAAAGGCAGAATTTCCTGTACTGTGCTCCAAAAGAAAAAGGCTACTTGACTGCCTCCTTCCAGACAGATTTTACAGGGAGCAGAAAAAAGGAGCCACACACACCTGTTTATGCATAAACACTGCCTTGGGGGCAGGCAGCAGGATGGGGGCGCAGCAGGGACAGGGTGCAGCAGGGAGGAAGCGGGAGCAGCGGAGCATGGAGTGTTCAGAACACAGGCGTCTGTGACATCAGCGACAAAATAGCAGAGGTGACACCTCCAGCAGCACAGGTGGGCCCCGACTGTCGCAGGCACCACTCCCAGTGCCACGATGGTCTCGTGGGCTTATCTGGCTTTGTCTGGTGAGTAGGAAATGTCTCTCCTCCAAACTCAGCTGAGAGGAAGGGCAGCAGACCCAGCTGCTCTGCACCTTCCCCAYTGCTCCTCAACTTGGGCAGTTTGGAGAAAAAGGAAGGGATGGGAGCACCCTCCCAATGCTTCAGTTGCAAAGATCCCAGGGCATATAATTTTGGCAATTTTCACCATTGGAGCTGGTATTTCATTCATTGAGGAGGGCCACAGAGTGACCTAGGAGCCAAGCAGGWGTCAGAGCTGGATCAGAGGTGGAGCAGAGGTGGAGACTGGAGATGCCATGACAGGGACAGCTGGGTGCATTAAACCAGACACAAGCTCTAAGGCAAAGATCTGGAGTTAACCCACAAAGCTAACAGGGAAGACTTGGCCCAGCAAAGCAACAGGGGAAGCAGGAGAAAGAGGTCTGAGAGAGGACCCTGCTTAAAGCCCTATTTGGCCAGAGGAAGAGGGTTTGCAGAGACTAAAAACCTYGAAAGGAAACAGTCTACTTGCTCCAGCCCTGAAAGCAGAGCAACTGCCAGCTTCAGCCATGACTTCCAAGACACTTCTCCCAGTTCAMSATTTGAATCTYSAGAGCTTTGATGAAGGTCCCTCAGMYATGCACTGTCACCAAAATACTACAYTCCTTTCAACATGGGCGAAGCAGGTTTTCCACGGGTCTGGAACTTCCATCTCTGGCTTGTTAAYGCATTTCCCATGTGCTGGATCCTGCACCCAGAAAAGGCAACAGAGATCTGGATTCAGCCCTTCTGAAAGTGTCGTGGTTTGCATTTCCCCCTCCCTCTGATTTCCTGTTCCTTATTTCCCACCAGTGCTCTTTGGTTGGGGCTGCATAGCCGGCCCTCAGGGCACGAAGGCACAGCAGCCGGGAACACCACTCTCCGACCAGGAATACCACCAGTTCTTCAAGTTCCTGAGGATCACCATCCAAGCCAGCACTGCCTGCCACCTTCGCGAGATGTACGGCTGCAAGAACGCACTGGTCCAGAGACTGGATGAGTACGAGAACCACGGACTCATCCCTTCAGGTAAAGCCAGCCATGAGTCCCAAGGGCAGGCAGCTGGACAGGGGTCCTGCAYGGCCCTGGTCACTGGGAGAGGAAGCACACAGGAGATGGGGTGGGGGAGAGAGGTGGGTAGCAATCCTGCAGTGAGGAGAAGCCATCGCTTATGGGCATCCTTTCTCACACTGGATTGCATCCACACGTGTCCCAGGATCAGCCTCCTCTCATCCCTTAGGACACAAGGATGATCAAGAAGCAGTGGAGTTTCTCACAGGTTCCCAAATGACACAGGGGTTTTCATGAAGGGATATTACTCAACAGTGAGGTTACTGCTGAGGGGGATGCCAGCACTGGAGTTTATCACTGGGTCTGCATCTTTATTTGCCTCTTTCTAGGGCCCGTATGCTCCGAAATGCCAGGAAATCCTTCATTCCACAACTTCTGCATCTTTTCTCTTCATCGCTGTGTTATGAAAAATTATTTCCTTAAGGTGAGTTATTTAGCTATTTCCTGAAGACTATGGAATGCTCTGAGGGATGGCAAGTAACAGGCACAAGGGAGAACCCTGAAAATGCAAAAGTGGGAAAACAGAAGATTCAGAGACAGGGAAGATACAAAAGATCCATGGGCAACCCACCTTCCAGGGGCACTCACGCCAAGCTGATTAGCTCACACAGATGGCACTTGCAGCCACTTGCCAAAAAGGAGACTCTGCAGAAGGTATTCTTCAAGAAAATGAATTTTTGAGGACCTTAGGAGTCTCCTCCAGTTCTCACTCCCAACCAAGCTGAGACAATCTAGGTCTCTCCAGGAGAAAATGGGATTAGAAGAGGAGAGTAAARGCATCTGAGAGTCCCAAGAGAGACTTATGGGGAGAGGTGACAAGGAAAAGATAAGAAGGTTTATTTCACTTTCTTGGGCTCATCTCTGTAGACACTGGGAAAGATGAGATTGTGCAGTGAGAGCTAAATGCACAGAACAGGACTGTGCCTAGGTGCCTGCTCCTAAGCCCYTCCAGAGCAATGTTTTCTCCTCCACAGAGGACGGAGTGCCCGGAACAGAGCGGAGCCAGTCAGCGCAGCCAAGCACACGCCAACGCCACCACCACGAGTGGTGATGCCACGCCATCCAGCAGCTCAGTCCCTCCCACGCCTCCCACAACTGGCTCCACACCTGGCACAGAGGCACCTGTGACCCCCACCCCCTTACCCACAAACACACAACCAAATCCTTCTGCTCCACAAGACGCAGAGGTGAGAGCCAGTGACGAGCAGCAAGAACAGCTGCCCAACAGTGACATCGAGGATCTCCTCCTGAGGATACTGGACAGCCAGGTGCAGACCTCACTGAAGACACTGAAGTTGTTGATGTCCCTTGGGAGCCCAGTGAGGGAGGACGAGTTGCAGAAAGCTGCCACGAGCCTGCTGATAGCCCTGAACAATGCAAACGTGTCCCGGCCACCAAMCAACTGATACAGTTCAACCGTGTGGCAAACACAGGGGAAAAGCCATCTCTTCCAAGTGCACGGGGAAACAGCCATAGGAAATGCTATTGCTCAGGATTCTGAGAAAAAGATGGTATCCTCTTGGAAGTAAATGTACTTCCTCTTGGAAGTAAGTGTATTGAAAAGATACTATTGTCTCCTAAAATAACTGTTTGCTCATTATTGTGATGGGGTTTGTTGTGTCATGGGAGAATGTTGGCTTTTCTTCATTAAATGCAGGTGCTCCTGCTCAAAAGCAGTAAGAGAAGAATCTTCTCTAGAAATATATTTGTAAATATATGTACATATGTAAACCTATGTATAGAAACACAAAGGTCTACAAGTGCAGGAAGACCTTATCCTGCAAGGGAACTGCTGGTCCAGCATTCTCTTTGTGCTGRGGTTTGCACATGGTTGACATCTATTCTGAAATATTGTTATAAAACACACAGGGTAATATTAAGAACCTCCTCTTGTCTCACAAAAAAATCAGAGAGTCTGATTTATAGGAACTTTGGCTGCAATGCTGTTTCTTTTCTAAACACGGAACATGCCTGTTAAGTAAAACTATATGAAGCCATCTGGAGTCTGCACTTGCTGCTAAAAGCAGAGTGGGAACTCTCTGAGAACCAGCTCTGGTTCTCTGAATCTCCACTCAGAAGAAGATGGTGCTACCTCAGTCTAAGCTCCAATGGCTTTGGCTTTCAGGAGAACCAGCACCGGAGTGAGAATCCTCTATTCACCTTCTGCAGGCTTTCTTGTAATCTATTCCACTGGGGACTGTGAGGAGAGAGGRGCCAAAGGCAGCTCTCTCGATGATGCACCACACCAAGCAACRTCCCTGGGGAGACGGTATGGGATGTTGGGTCTCTTTACTCTGCTAATGGACAYAGACACAGCTGAGTGAATTATGGGCTCTGTTTCTATCCACTGAAAGAAGTCCGCAGAAGGAAGATCTCAAAATCACAGATCCTCCATTGTCCTTAAAAGTGTAATCTTTCCCCAGGCCGAAGGCAGGTCACACATGGAAATGTGCATGCCCTGGAACAGGCCCTAGCGGGTGGGATCCCTAACAGAGAGCACTCTGCCCTGGCCTCCCTCYGGCACACCAGCTCGTTCTCTTCTCCCTGGAAAGTGCCCAAATCTGCCGGATCCCTGTCTGAGGCACCAGGGCTTGTGTCCGCCTCCAGCTGCCTGGGCAATGGCAGATCTCCCAGCCCAGCAGCGGGGGCACTTCTGGCAGCAGCCTTGCTCGCCATCCCCACATCCCCGCCCTCGGGGCTTGGGTGGCAGCCCACGGGGGCCGATCGCTGGAGCTTTCCCACTCGGAATGGCGTCCCTGGGCCATCCTCCCGCCGGGACAGCCGCTCCCGCACGGTTCCCGCACCTGCCCGGCGGCCGGACCCCAGCGGGCCCCGGGGAGCGCCCGCCCGGTTCCGCGCCGCTCCTTTCCCCGCTCCCCAGCACTGTGGCGGTGTTCCCAGCCCGTTAGCTCGCCCGGCGCCGCCCCGCTTTTGTTACGGACTTACGGGGAGCGGGGCCATGTGCGCGGCGGCGGCGGTGGCGGGGCGAGGGCCGGCGGGTGGTGCTCTCCGCTGCTCCGGCTCGCACATCCACCCGAGAGCGCGCCGGGAGCGGCCCCAGCGCCGCCGGTGGTGACAGCGATGGTGATGGCGATGGCGATGCGGACGGGATGGGGAGGGGGCTGAGCGGAGCCGCCCCCGGCAGGGAGGGACCCGCTG